TTATGGGCCCAGGATACGTGGCATAAAAAGAAATGATGTCTGATACACCGCGGTTCTATATTACGAAGCTAAACAATACAAACTTCCAAGTATGGAAGTGCAAAGTAGAATTGCTACTTATTAAAGAAGACTTGTGGCATACTATCAGTACGGATAGACCGACGACACCGGATGAGAAATGGCTTAAGGCGGATAGACAAGCACGAGCTACGATCGGCTTGCTAGTTGAGGATGATCAACTAAGGCATATCAAGGATACAGGCAGTGCAAAGGAAGCATGGATAGCACTGAAAAATTACCACCAAAAAGCGTCGCTGACAAATCAGGTATTTTTATTTAAGAAGATCTGTAGCATTAAACTCTCAGAGAATGGTGACATGAAAAGTCACTTAAACGCAATGCTAAATTTGGTGGATCAGCTTGCTGCGCTAGGTGAGGCGTTGAAAGATAAAATGGTCATAGCTTTGTTATTGTGTAGTCTGCCTGAATCATATAATACTCTAATAACAGCATTAGAGACAAGGTCTCAAGACGAGTTAACTGTAGAACTCGTTAAAGGCAAACTTTTAGATGAGGATAGAAGACGCAAAAATGCAAAAGATTATACAGATGAACGTGACAGCAAAGCACTTAAAGTACAGTCAAGGAAGGTTATAAATAAGACTACACAAAAACAAGACGTAAAGGATGTTACATGTTTTTTCTGCCAAAAACCAGGTCACTTGAAGAAAGATTGTAGAAATTACAAAAAATGGAAAGCAGGAAAAGAAAAGGAAAAGGCGAATCAAGCAGTCAATGAAGATAAGGATGCACATATTTGTTTCTGCGCTGGAAGCAACAATAGCAGTGAACGGACGTGGTATATTGACTCAGGAGCCACTAGTCATATGAGTAATGATAAGAACTTTTTCGAAGTACTTAATACTTGCACAAGTGAGTATATAACACTGGCAAATGGAGACAATGCAGAAGTACGAGGAACAGGAGATGGTTATCTCATCTGTAAAGACAACAAAGGTAAACAAAATACAATTATGGTAAAAGAAGTATTATATGTTCCTACGTTAGAAGAAAATCTATTATCTGTGAGAAAACTAGCAGAAAAGGGCCTTCAAGTTGGATTTACGGGAAAAGTGTGCAACATTATAAAGGAAGGAGTTATCGTAGCTACAGCAGAATTAGATGGTAATCTATACAAGTTGCGATTTAATCATAAGGCTTTAATGGTTATAAACAAACATAGGAAAGACTGTCAACACATGTGGCACAGGAAACTCGGTCATAGAGATCCAGAAGCAATAAAACAAATGGAAGCAAAGGATTTGGTTACAAATTTAAAAATAACAGATTGCGGTATTAGAAGCATCTGCAAGACATGTATAAAAGGCAAAATGACAAGGCAGCCATTCCCAAAGAAGTCATCTAGTAAAACTAAAGAACCACTGGATCTAATACATACAGATGTTTGCGGGCCTATGCAAACGGTAACACCAGGAAAGAAGCGCTATGTACTCACTCTTATAGACGATTACAGCAAGTATACAGTGGTATATCTTATGGAACATAAATCGGAAGTAACTGAAAGGATCCAGGATTATATAAGAAGCATGAAGACTAAATTTAAGAAGGTACCCAAGATTATAAGATCCGATCAAGGTAGAGAGTACGTGAATACAAGCTTAAAGAACTTTCTTCGAAACGAGGGCATCGAGGTGCAGTACACCGTGGGATATGCTCCAGAGCAAAATGGTACAGCCGAAAGGAAGAATAGGTATCTCATGGAGATGGCAAGGTGTATGCTGATTGATGCAGATTTACCGAACAAATATTGGGGAGAAGCAGTATGTACTGCAAATTATCTGCAAAACAGACTGTATACAAAGATCACAGGCACAACTCCTTTTGAAAGATGGCACGAGAAGAAACCATCATTACAGCATATACATATATTTGGCTCGAAGGTGTATGCACATGTTCCGAAGGAATTAAGAAGAAAACTCGATGTAAAAGCAAAAGAATTTGTATTCGTAGGCTATGCAGAAAACGCGAAAGGATATCGATTGTTGGACACAAGTACAGACAGAGTCATAATAAGCAGAGATGTTATTTTTCTCGATGAAAGTAATGAGATAAATGAAGTAATTATCGAAAAGAAGCAGGAAACGCAGAACAGTGAAGAGGATATACAGAATCCAACAGAAGAAGAAAATAAAGATGAAGAAATCAATCAAGAAAAAGGGCACAATCAAGAAGAAAAGGAGACTATAGAAGAGGACAGTAATAGTCACAAAGATCAGCAGTTACGAAGATCACAGAGGCATAATAAAGGTGTGCCACCAAGCCGTTATTGCAATTTGGCACATTATTCAGGAGGAGAAGAAACGTTTGAACCAGACACATATGAAGAAGCAATATCTTCACCTGACAATGTCCAATGGATGAAGGGGATGAAAGATGAATATGATTCACTCATAAAAGCTAGTACGTGGACTCTAGTAGATAAACCCATAAACAAGAATATCATAGGAAGCAAGTGGGTTTACAAGGCAAAGACAGATGCACAAGGACATGTGGTAAGGTATAAGGCAAGGCTGGTCGCGCAGGGCTATACTCAGGAGTACGGGGTGGACTATGAGGAGGTATTCGCACCTGTGGCAAGACAAACCACGTTTAGAACACTATTGGCTGTAGCAGGAAAGCAAAAATTGATAGTCCGACATTATGATGTAAAAAATGCGTTTTTAAATGGAGTCCTAGAGGAAACAATCTATATGGTACAACCTAAGGGGTTTGAGGTAAAAGGAAAAGAAAGTATGGTATGTAAGTTGAATAAAAATATTTATGGATTAAAACAAGCAGCTAGAGTTTGGAACAAAAAGTTAAATAGTATTCTGATTAAAGAAGGATATAAACAAAGTCAGGTAGATTTATGCTTGTATTCTAAAGAGATCAATAATG